CACCCTCCGGGCTCCAAGGAGGGCGCCCCGCAGCGGCCGGGTCGGAGATGTACAGGGCGAGCCGGTCTGGGTTTAACAGCCCATGTCAGCCAACGAGGTCCCGCGCGCCCTTTGTCGGAGTTGGTTGTTCTTGCACATGGATCATCGTCCTGTGTGCAGGCCCGGGAAGGGCCTGGGCGCCGCAAGCGCCGTGTTGTCCTGAGGGTCCATTTGCAGTGTCGTAGTTTCTGCAACCAGAGCGTGAGTGCAGCCATAGGGGCAGTTTGACAAAATAAAGTTAGAATGGTTACAAATCTGTCTAGGTATATGGTACACACACCCCATACCACACACTCAAACCCCATACCACACACTACAGCCACACACACTGCACCCCCCAACACCCACTTACCCCACACACACAGTGCACCCCCAACACCCACTCACTCCCACACACAGCACACCCCCAACACCCACTCACCCCCACACACAGCACACCCCCCAACACCCACTTACCCCCCCCACAACACACCCCCAACACCCACTCACCCCACACACAGCGCACCCCCAACACCCACTCACCCCACACACACAGCGCACCCCCCCAGCATCCACTCACCACACATACAGCACACCCCCAACACCCACTCACCCCACACACAGTGCACCCCCAACACCCACTCACCCCCACACACACAGCGCACCCCCAGCACCCACTCACCCCACACACACAGCGCACCCCCAGCACCCACTCACCCCACACACAGCGCACCCCCAACACCCACTCACCCCCACACACAGCACACCCCCCAACACCCACTCACCCCACACACAGCGCACCCCCAACACCCACTCACCCCACACACAGCGCACCCCCAACACCCACTCACCCCCACACACAGCGCACCCCCCCAGCATCCACTCACCACACACACAGCGCACCCCCAACACCCACTCACCCCCACACACACGGCGCACCCCCAGCACCCACTCACCCCACACACACAGCGCACCCCCAACACCCACTCACCCCACACACAGCGCACCCCCAGCACCCACTCACCCCCCCCACAGCGCACCCCCAACACCCACTCACCCCCACACACAGCGCACCCCCAACACCCACTCATCCCACACACAGCACACCCCCAGCACCCACTCACCCCACACACGGCGCACCCCCCCAGCATCCACTCACCCCCCACACACAGCACACCCCCAACACCCACTCACCCCACACACAGCGCACCCCCCCAGCATCCACTCACCCCCCACACACAGCACACCCCCAACACCCACTCACCCCACACACAGCGCACCCCCAACACCACTCACCCCCACACACACAGCGCACCCCCAGCACCCACTCACCCCACACACAGCGCACCCCCAGCACCCACTCACCCACACACAGCGCACCCCCAACACCCACTCACCCCACACACACAGGCGCACCCCCAGCACCCACTCACCCCACACACACAGCGCACCCCCAACACCCACTCACCCCCACACACACAGCGCACCCCCAGCACCCACTCACCCCCCCACACAGCGCACCCCCAACACCCACTCACCCCACACACACAGCGCACCCCCAACACCCACTCACCCCACACACACAGCGCACCCCCAGCACCCACTCACCCCCCCACACAGCGCACCCCCAACACCCACTCATCCCACACACAGCGCACCCCCAGCACCCACTCACCACACACACAGCACACCCCCAGCACCCACTCACCCCACACACGGTGCACCCCCAGCACCCACTCACCACACACACAGCACCCCCAGCACCCACTCACCACACACACGGCGCACCCCCAGCACCCACTCACCACACACACGGCGCACCCCCATCACCCACTCACCCCACACACGGCGCACCCCCAGCACCCACTCACCCCACGCACAGCGCACCCCGCGGCGGGACAGGCGGGCAGTTCCACGCCGGCCGCCAGGTGGCGCTTGGCCGATGCGCGACAAACGGCAAAGGAAGCCGCGGGCCTCGGGGCCCCCGCCCCCCCCCCCCCCCCCCCCCCCCCCCCCCCGCCTCTGGCTCACCGGTTCGGGGTGCGGGTGTTGCACCCCGCGCGCCCATGCGGGAGGGGCGTCGGGCCCGTCCTGGTCCCCGGCCGGCTGGGACTGGGGCTGGGGCGTCCTGGAAACAGCTCAGGGACCCCCTGTGCGGCTCGGCCGGGGACCCCGGGCGGCGAGGGTGGGGGGGGGAAGGGGAGTGGGGGAGAGCCCGTCCTCTGCGCGTCCTCCGGCGGGTCCCCCGCGGAGACGTCCCTGGCGCTGCGCCCCCACGCCGCCGTGACGGGCCCCCGCGAGACCCCGCTGCTGCTGAGGCGCCCGCGTTTGCACGACGGGGGGACCCCGATCCCGACGCTCCCCCAGGCCGGCAGGACCTGAGGCTTCTGCGGTGACCCTTTGTGGCCGGGTCCCTGAACACCCGGCCAGCGGCCAAGGGCTCCGCTCCAGGGCGGTGGAGGCGGGAAGCCCTGCGGTCGCCTTCCCCTGGGTGACGGCGGGTGACAGGCCTGCAGAGCCGGGGGCACAGAGGAGCGCCCCCTCGCCTCTCCCGTGCTCCTTTTGCTCTTTGTCCTGGGAGTGCTGGCCTCTGCGCTTGTCCAGCATGCCTGAGCAGGCCACACCCCACTTCTGTCCAGGAGCCTTGCCTGGAGCCTGTCGGTGTTACCCCCGTGCCCTGGAATTCTAGAAGCTGCATTAAGTGCCCCACACGCACACGCTGTGAAGAGTTTATTGACCCCAGGGGACCCTGAGATGCAGGCTGTGAGCCTCAGGCCTGTCGGTCTCCTCCATCCGTGGGCCTGGTGGCGCGTGGGGTGCAAGAGAGGAAAGGCTGGCTCCCGCCTGCGGGCCCTGTTGTGCCAGGGAGCTTGTGTCCGAGAGGAAAGACTGTCGGGTCTTCTTGTCACCCTAACCCAGTAGACAACTCCCCTTCCAAGGCCACAGGAAAGAAGTGGGAGCTCTGCGGGTGTGAACTGAGGGAACAGTCGACGCTGGGGTTCAACGTTGAGTGGGGTACCGTAGGCTGGCACAGCAGCCGCTTCCAGAAAGAACTCGGTCCCAGGCCCAGCCTGAGCTTTGTCTTCGTCTCCCTCAGGCCTGTGAAGGCCACGCTTTGCTTCCAGGTCACGCTCGTCTGTTAGCACACGAGTGCAGTCTCGGGTTCTGAGCTGAAATAAGATCTTCCTTTTCCTTTAAATATACCTCGGTAAGGGCGCGGGTTTAAGGATATCGCAGGCCAGTGACCACGTTCATCGGCGTCTCGATAAGAAAAAAGAATGAGCAAAGGAATAGGTTTGTGCTTTCAGCTCTTTTAGCGGCCAGCACGCTGAGCCTCGGGACTCTTTCCAGAGTGCGAAGCTTCATCCAGGAGCTTCTTAGGAAAGATGGGGGTGGGATGTGTTCTGGCTTCGACTCTGCTCCCTAAAACTTATAGGACTTTGGGGCCTCCCCGGTGGCGCAGCAGTTGAGCGCTGGGTTGCGAAGCTGCCCGCAGCCTCTGTGGCGCCGGTTCGATCCCCGGCTGCTCTCCGGACACCAGAGGAGGGTCCCGCATGGCACGCAGACCTCTCCTGCCGCCCGCTGCTCCCCTCAGCAGTGTACTTCAGTCCTTCTGCCTGCTCTGCTCCCCGCTCTGGCTCTGGTGAATTCTCTCACCCTCCCGCGCTTCTGACTGTACCCAGTGCA